CTGAGAAGCGGTCGTGTTAGCATAACTCCCACACGGGAAAGAAATTTGATAAAAGTCATCAGATTTATTGAAAGAATCGACTCGACTTGTTTAATGTATCGAACGAAATTCGTTATTCTTAAATTGCAAGGCTACCCAGTACTACCAATGATTTGAACAATTTGTCAACGAAAACTTCGACTGCATTTTCTTGAATAATTTTTTGTTTTTTTTTCATCGATATCGATAAATATATAATTAGATAAAGGTTGTTTTTTCTATCAAAAAACAAAAAGCAAAACAAAAAAAAATAGTTGAAAATAATCGAATACGTGCCCGACTGTTTACGGGTTGTTTGCTGTGATGTCATCAATTGGAGAGATTTTACAGTTTCAGGAAGAACGAACTTGAATCTCTTGGTTTGAAATAAAGCATAAATAACAATCATTGCGATTCCCTCTGCTGCTATTTCCGTCTTGAATAACGAAATCCGCAAATATGGACTCAAATTAAATGCGGCTGGGTCAGAATTTTCAAAATTTTGATAATCGAACCCTCTATGTATTCGAGAGGCAAGAATACAGAACGAATAAAATTATTTTCGCTTTTTGAATAAACGTGGAGTACGTTTATTACAATTTTGAAAATCGATAGAAACCACCTAGTGATTTGAAACCATTACAGTTTATTTGTAACCCTTCCCGTTTATTTGTAACCCTCCCCGTTTATTTGTAACCCTTCCCGTTTATTTGAGAGGCAAGAGCATTTAGTGAAATACACAGTTTACTTAAGTAAATCAAAAGAATCCATGATTAATAATTAATATTTAATTTTTCGTTAAAGTCTTTTTCCTTACTTCCGTCTTGAATATTACTGACATAAAGTAGGCATAATACACTGAAAATTTCAATCGATAATTCAACCGGGTTATTGACTTATTGGTACAATTTGGTCTATGAAATTTTAAGTTATTTTTTAGTCATTTCATCCAAAGCAAGGCGATAATGTCACTAAGACTCAAGGCTTACTGGGAATAAAAAAGAATGAGAAGAATTTGAGAGAAAATACTGGAAACCCAATCCTAAACGGAAACAATGGACACAGCCGTTTCTCCTGTACAAAAGACAGGCAAGGAGCGTGAAACGGGCGATATGCGAATCTATATGTAATATTATTTTTTATCGCTTAAGCTATTCAGTGTTTGCTACGTTTCGCCAGATATTTCAGTTACTTTCGAAATCATTCCACCTGAAGGTATTTTGTCTTTCTTTGAAGAGAAAATACTTCGCGCTACCTTACTTTCCCGAAACGTCAATTGTACAATATATACCTTATATATAAAGTACAGTGTATATATGTGTGTTTGTGCATGTGTGTGGCCAATCAACTCCCCCTCTCCCACTGGTCCGATTTCAATGATTCATAGCTCATTTAAATGTTCTAGAAAAGTTAGGCGCAGGGAACGATTTTCGTTGAGCTCAGATTCAGGTTTGCCAGATTATGCCAGTTTAAATCTATATATTAATATATTATACTAGCCAATATTGTTGTTTTCATGGTTCAAGTGGAGTAACATTTATTTTCCTTTTGTATCCAAAATTGAAGCTCGCTTAAAAGTCGCCCAGTCGGTAAAGATGGGAAAATAGATATTAGAATTAGTTATACATTAAACATTTGAAGGGTTAGAGAAAACACGTAACACGAGAGGAAGTGGAAAATTCAGGTGTGGCTAATCACATATGGAGAGAAAAGGTTAAGCACCGCCCGCTGTGGGATAAGGTTGAAATCATAGACAAACAACATCAGTGGAAATCAGCACATATGCTAGGCCACAAAAATCTCCTGAGCCGACCAAGCATAGAAATGAATACAATATGGGAACCAGTAATAATGAGTGCCAGAGAAAAACAATAATAACAACGAAATTTGCAATATGAGCTCTGGTAAAAATAAAATGGAAATGATAACAGTAAAAATTGCAATATGAGCGCTGGTAAAAAATGATTGCTAAAGACATTAGGTTGATAATACCCAGAAATTCATACACATATGTCCTCAAGGACACATGGCACAATGGATAAAGACATTAGATAGACCCAGTGACAGGACGCAAAAAGTGTGAGTTCAATACCTTGTTAAGGCGGTGGAGAACTTGGAGAAGGGAATTAACAGGAGATAACTGATAACTGACATCTATAAGACATGGCACGTGGAACTAGAACAGTCTACCCCAGCGAGCGAAATAAAGGCTTCAGTTTGACATTCCAACCATCTGAAGAAGGCCGGAGCGTACAAAAAACCGAAACATTGTGATAAATATGTCAACAAATATGAGGATAATAGTCCGAACAATGTAAATGGAATAAACAGTTCCAGTAAGTTTAGAAAAGAGAATATAGTCCCACAAGCCACCAAATAAAAAAAAAGACAAGGAATAAATGTCTATTTTTGTCGGTAAAAATACGGTCTGTACAATTTAACGTATACTGCCACTGAAGTGCGCAGATGATTTGCGTACATATATATATATATATAACAGGACATAATTTTCAATGTCTCATTGAACAGATTTATTTTTTGTCTGTAAATGTTATTACAGCTAATGTTTCTTCTTGACAAAGGTCGCAGATGTTACTATGATATATAACAAATTTCACTGATATGCATGTGCCTGAAAGTCTGTATTGGGTAGAAAAATTAATATTTTAATGTGTATTAAAAAGCTCTTTCTTTATTATTTTAAGGTAGTTAAATTTCTCTCCCCCCACCCTCTCTCTCTCTCTCTCTCTATATATATATATATATATATATATATATATATATATATATATAGATAGATAGATAAATAGATAGATAGTACAAAAAGTTAGAGCAGCCAATTCCGCTACCTTCGTTTTCAACCTTTCGGTATATTCGGATAATTTCGGTCAATTGAGTTTACTGAACTCAATTGACGCTTTATAGTTTTAAAAATCAAACAAAAATTATGAAGGTTATATTTTTTAAAAAAGAATAAATTGAATGCCGTGTGGTGTGGCAAAAGGTGAAAAGGATGAGGAGTGGAAAATCAAGTATATTGGAAATGTATTGCAGGGAGATTAAATCATAATTTTCATCCCACTCCATATAAACTTATAAGGAACATTTTAGCATGCATACAAGAGGACATAATTTTCGATCTTTCATTCAAAAGGTTTTTTTTTGTCTAGAAATGTTATTAGAGCTATTTTTTCGTCTTGACAAATGTTTCAGATATTCCTATGATTATTATATATATATATATATATATATATATATATATATATATATATATATATATATATGAAAAGTGAATATAAATATAAATAAATATATATATATGTATAATTATTTATATATTATATATATGCGGTACTTATTAGAAAGCGCTCAATATCAGAGATAGATAACATATTTGTTGGATAGATGTGATTTGTGACCCTGGGTTTCACGGTTTAGCAATTGTCAGACAAACTGACGATCGCTAAAGCGTGAAACCCAGGTCACAAACTCACATCTATCCAACCAAATATATATATATATATATATATATTATAAAATATATAGAGAGCTACTATGATATTACTGTGAATGTTTTAAAACTATAGAGTTAGTTTCTTTTTTTTTTTTTTTTTTAAAAAAGAAGCTAAATCCGTAGGAAATCAATTGATCGACGTCACCTGAAGGTAGGGGAATAAGCTAATCTCTTAATTTTTATACTTAAAAGCTCTATATGATAATTTTTTCATTTTTTTTTTTCATAAGTGCATTGAGCACTAATACTACTGTTTCAACATTGACCATTAACCTTTAATATATATATATATAGTTTATGCAAATTTAGGTAATCCGTATGGGCAGACCTGAGGAGGATGATATCCAGCGAGCTCAATGTAAAATTCAGAGCAGATATGTTTGAATAAAAGACAGACCACGTTAAGATTCCATGTAATAAGCGATTTCACCATAACCCCTTTAACAGGGTTCTGGATCATCAGACTTTACTTCCAAAAGCTGAAATGAAAAATGAAAAGAAGTTTTTTACGGACCTCATCAAGTATACGTGAAGTTAACGAAGTGAGGTGGGAGAGAGCATATGAGTGTATCATATGTATCATTTTAGTTTCCTATTTTAACCCCAGTGTGTCGGCTGGATGTTGCTCAAATCTAACGCGTCTCGTCTCTAGATAAAGGTGGCTAAGGGGTGAGCGATAAGAACTACATTAAAGGAAGACGTTACAACAACCCCAATAAATTACACGACAGGTTTCATTCAAATTCTTAGACGCTGTCAGTTCGCGTTACTTTAACGTGCATATTTGGGAGGTTAAGGTTTGATAAATATCTAAATTTTAAAACAATCTACGAAGAAATTAATTTGAAATTCGGTGGAGTTTTGGGTATTTTCTATGAAGAAGTCGATTGGAAAAATCCAAAGACAGAACTTTGAAAGAGCAATCCAATTTATATTTAGTACTTTTTTCCACTAAAACTTTTATCTTATAGCTTGTTAGGTTGACATTTATTCGTTTGATTTTTGTTCATTAAGTAAACTCGTGGTTGTTTTTGATTTTTGTTCATTAAGTAAACTCGTGATTGTTTTTTATTTTTGTTCATTAAGTAAACTCGTGGTTGTTTTTATGTACCCAATTCTCAACAGTTATTCCCATTTAAATAATTTTATTTTCCACATTGGGGTAGTATCTTTCACTCTCAATTAAAATACTAATCTAAATATATATATATATATATATATATATATATATATATATATATATATATATATATATATGTATATAAATAAAAAAAGAAAGAACAGTAAGATGTACAAATAAAATAGAAAAGGATGTCAGTTTTCATTGAAAAATACATCCTACCACTTACCAAAATGTAGCTATTAACCGATACAACCGATGCAGACATAAGGAAAACCCAGACACGCCTTGTCCAGTTGAAGTAGATTTATCTGTAACCATGGAAACGTCATTTTAGCTGTGTCTTTA